GAAAAAACGCAATAGATAAACCACATCTTGTCTGCGATGAGGAAAAGAAAGTATGAACATCTTGTGTTCAGTGTTAAAAGAAACTCATTACTCATGCCTCAACTTTTCATTTCAAGGCATGAATACTCTGAAACATTAATTAAGCAGGTAGCAAATTCCCTTAAAATACACATTTGCATTCTCTTCCCTAAAATTCTTCATGTTGAGGCATTCTGTGTAAAGAAAGCTACTTTGTTCCTATAGGGAGGATGTGTTTGGTTCTTTCAGTACTACTTAATAACCCTGCTCATCTGCGCAGCAGCAGTGTCTGCTGCAGCACATGGAGTTAAATAGCTCCTTTCTTCAGGGAGATGTGGCAGCCCCTTTGTGATAACCAGTGTCACATTATACAGTTTTGTTAAATACATATATGTTATGTACATCTGTTCTTACTCTTCTGTATGCCTTGCCAAGAAATACTTAGACTTTGATAAACTAGGAGTTTTCTCTCAAACTGAGAGAGTTTATGGGAAATGTAGGGGATGAATGTCCAAGTCTAAATTACATTTAGAAAACTAAGACTGAAAGATTACTTATGTTAAATCAAAGGAAAGCAATTCTAGAGCATGTTTTGAGACTGAAATGTTGTGCATATTTCTTTTAACAAGCAAATGCAAAAATATTTTGTTACTTATAGCTTAATGCTAAAGACTGCAGAGAACAACCTATATGCTAGAGCCTGAGCTGCTTCTGACAATCAAGTGAAGACCCTTTCCATCACTTCTGGTATTAACTGCTCATATAAGCAGCAGCAGCAGGGAGAAACTGGCTTCCCTTTGGAAAGCACCACTCCCTTGCAGGGACTTGTCCACCTGGGCCTGGCTCCCAATGTGGGAACTGGGGGCTCCAGGAGTACATTAAGTTGAAGCTGGTCGGTGGGTGGCCGCCCAGCACCCCTGGTCTTTCCCCTGTGCCCCCCTGCGAGGAGCCCCGCGGTGCTGGGGTGCCGCAGGGCTCGGTGCTGGGCAGGGCTCGCGCTGTCCCCGGTGCAGGGGGGTCACAAGGCTCGTTGTGCCGGAGCGGCTGTAAGGGCTGCTGCCGTCCCCAGGCAACTCAGGGGCCTGGAGGTGCCTGAGGGAGACTGGGATGTTCCCCTGCAGCAGCCCTGAGTGCAAATGCAGGGAAGGCTCAGCTATAGCCATAGCTCGTTGAAGTGATTTTGTGGAACAGTAGGAGATGTGCTAAGTGTTCTCTTATTTATTTTTACTGTTTTAGACACATGTCCGTTGGGGTAACTAAGCAGGCCAGATGGCCTCCGCTGAGCCCAGCGAGCACCTTGGGCTCTGTGCACAGGAGCAAGCCGTACAGGTCTCCTGTGGACATAACACACGGAAGCTCCTGGAGGCATTTCCACCAGGAAGCTGGTGCTCTCGCCTGCGGGAGCAGTGCAGGATTTTTGGAGGGGTCAAAGCCCACAGGCCTGTACTTAGCTGAGAGATAACAGGGTGCAGTTTCTATTTATGCCATGCAGCTGTTGAAATGAGCACATTGCTGGCTTGGGGCATCAGCACAGCTGCTTTAAGAAGCTTATTGAATCTGAAGCTTTTCTGTTTACTGCTGCCCTTTATTCCTTTCAAAGCACGCACAGAAAACCCGTGTTTGTTCCTGCAGATAAATACCTGCTTCATTCTCTTCCTGGGAGAAGATTTGCTTTTCCTCCTGAGATGCAATGCAGGAACATAAAGAATCAGTGTGTAGACGGTCCCAGTTTTCCTGAGCAGGGTCAGAACAGGCGTGTGTGCAGGAAGGATCCGAGCCCTGTGCTCAGCCCGGAGGTGAGGGGTCGGTTGCTGCCAGCCGGGACCCCTGGTGCAGGAGCCCGCGGGCCCCGCGAGCGCCAGCGCTGGGGTGGCCGGGGGACGGGGACGAGGCAGCCCCGCACCCCCAGCTGCTGCCCGAGAGGCAGAGCAGAGGTTGGGCTCTCGGAGCTGCTTCCTGCCCTGCCCGCTGGGCACAGCCTCAGCCACCACCAGGTTCATAAAGCACCGCTGCAAAGCACAGAGCTTTGTGTCGCGGCCCCTGCTCCCTGCTCTTGTCCATATGGAAACTGAGGTTTGTGTGCTGTTCTGCTACGGGCTTTGATAAGCGTATAGAGGTGCTGCTGCGCTTGTCTTAGGCATGTAAAAAAGGTGGAAAAAAAGACTCCAAATATATATAATACTCAGCAGAATGATTAAATCTCATGCTGCTGATGCAATGTATAAATAAACGTAGGCTGACTTGTACTTCATTTAATTGTATTGCATTGTAAGTGTGAAATAGAGGTTTGTCAACCTATCCATATATATACATATAAGTACATGAATGCAAATCAATGCAGCTGTCTACGAAGGAGCTAGAAACAATGAAGTTTCTGTTTCAGCTTCTTAAAGGTTAATATTCACATTAATTTTGGATCTGAGACTGGAAATGTAACACAGAAATTGAATAGCGTATAACGAGTAATTGCAATCACACTAACCTTATCTAAAATTGAAGGAACAGTTTAAATATCTTTCTAGAGAAGATCAAGCTGCCCTTGTGAAAACAGGGCTTCAATAATAGCAATATTTTAATGAAAGCCCTTATTGATAACTGAAATTAATTACTGAACTGCATAAAATGACTTAGTGAAATTGATACAATAGAAAGTTTGTAATGTTAATTCAAGTATAAATGAACTATGAAAATAACTTAAATTAACTGTTCCAGTGGGAGCCTTCCCCTGGTTTCCATAACCATGGGTAGGGCTTAGGATTATTGAAGAGCTCTTAGAGGATGGAAAAGAAGACAAGGAATTGCGGAGCAGGGCAGGTAGCAGCTCTGCAGCTACATTTGCAAGCTGTTCTGCACAGGGGTGGTTTAAAGCGATAATTTTTTGCCCCCTTGGGCCACATTGTAGTCCTGTAACTTCCAGGACAAGGAAATGTGGTTCCTCAAACCAGCTGTGAAGGGAGCAACTGGAAGTCCCGATGCCAGGGATCGGATTAACAAGCCAGCAGAGAAGCTGTGAGCTACAGCTCTTAATAACGTCAGGATAGTGCGGGATTAGCCGGGTGCCTGCAGAGTGCCGAGCCGACGGGGGCACCTTGGCCGGCTGCGGGGTTGGAGCGGGGCGGCCTCCTCCCTCGGGACACGGGCGCCCGCGGCTCTGCCCTGGCCGTGTGTGGTGCTGATGGCGATGGGTCAGTGTGGGCAACGAGGTTTGGCGGCCCTGTGGCTGCTGCGGGCACAGGCCTGCGTGCTGGGCCCCGGGCTGCCAGAGCCTCTGGGCACCTCCCTGTGCTGAATTACGAATCTGCACAGGAGCAGAACTGAGCTCGTTCCCACCGGCAGCCGGGGAGGCTGCCACAGACCCAAAGCCAAGATACAACTTGACACGTTTGCCAGTGAGGTCCCATGACTGTCTCGTATTAAGCATAAGGAAGAAATTCCACAGAGGCAGCATTTTAAGCTTCCAGTTCACTGGTGTGGGAAACATCTTGTTTATGGTTACAAATCTTGTTGGATGTGCTTGCTTACCCAGCTAGGAAGTTTTCCATATCTAGCTCTAATTCAGTCCCATGGGCCCATTGAAATGTGTTCTAGACTCCTATTGATGGAGCTGGGGTAGCAGGGAGGTTCCTTGCAGCCGCTGTATCGCAGTGTCACCCTGTGTCACCACCTTCTGCGATGTGGCCGCTGCCAGGCGCGTCCTTGACCCCGTGCTCAGCCCCATCCCTCTGGCAGAGCTGCTTTTTTAGTGCACGGTGAATGTTTTGAAGTGCTTCCTGCAAGCAGGTGAGTAAGTGCTGTGCTTGCAGCATATCAGAGGAAAAAATCTGGAAAAAAAAAAAGGGAAAAAAAATCAGCCCTTCAGAAAGGGCCCCAGTGTGAGGTTGGCCACTGCAACATCCCCTCAGTTTTGACTGATGTTTCCCGAGTGTACTCGAAGTAGTGCTGTAGCCGAATCATCAGCCTGATGCTGTTTGTGGTCTCTGCAGTGTCGTTCCTGCCCTGCACGGGCTGGTTGGGCCCTGCCTCAGCCCCACTGCGCGGGCTGCGGAGGCTCCTGCTCGAGGAGGGGGAGCTGGAGCTGGACCCGGAGCAGTGGCCTGGGTGCTCTGCAGGGAGGACCCCAGCAGAGCTGCACAGGACCGTGTGTGGTGCTGATGGCGATGGGTCAGTCTGGGCAACGAGGGTGAGATGGAGGGAGGAGATAACAGTGGTGTCGGAGGTGCCACAGCCTCCAGAGGAGAGAGGGAAGTCAGCTTGTGTGCAGTCCTCCAGAGAGAGATACCTTTTCACAAGCTATAGTAGTATCATGATATTTGGTGAATATGACAAGCTTTTGGTATTGATACTGTGGAAACATCAGGATATTTCCCCTGTTAACACTGACTTGCCAAACAAGCCTCGCTAGGGTGCCGAGTGCTGGGATCTCTTCACCTCGAGGAGACAGATTTGGCAGTTGTCACATATCCAGCAGTCCTCTCGGCTTCTCTGGAGTTGGGAGGAGCTCAGCAGCTCCACCAACAACTGAAGATCCTTCCTCACACCGTTGCTAGGGTTACAGCACATACAGTCACTATCAAAAAGAATACTCACTTGTTTTTTTTTCCAAGAAATATAAAATTATATAGAAATATGAGGTGAAGGCTCTGTGTTTTGAAAAAGAAGAATCACAGTTGCATAAGAAAAAATGTACTGAAATAAGACCACAATTTGATATCAGCATATGACTATTTCCAGTTGTCACTTCTGTCGTGATCAAAAATATATTTTCCTTTTTGTTCACTTCTGCCCAGGGAGAAACAGGTCTTTACTGTGTTCTGTCTTCCGTATATGTTATTAAGGTTTTACTTGTACCATTTATATATGATTTCTAGGAGCTAAAAAAGCCCTTGAATTTCTTTGTGTGCTATAAATTCAACTTTGTGGATTGAAGTTATGAGCTTGGTTTAGCTAAACAATTGTTTGTGTTTTGCTGTTCTGCTCTACAGTGAGAGCCTGGAAAGCTGGTTTTGCCCTCTGGGATCCCTGGGCACTAGTGCCAGCCTGGGACATGGCTTCCCGTTCCCTCTGCATCCCCCAGCTGGAACTGCTCCCCACACAGATGCCTAGAAGGGGCAGTGCTCGTTCCCTTGGGTTTTGTATGGAGGCTGCAAACCATGGATTTTACTCCGAACATGCACTAGGGTACGTGAGATCAGGTTTAGGCCTTATCCAACAGGATACATACCTAGTTAATGACTTTCCACTCTATCATTTTACCTGTGATTTCCCTGCCTTTCAGAGAATATGGAAATGGCTTTGAGCTCAGACCATCAGTAAAGAGTCTCCTGATCAGAGATGTGTTTATGAAGAGGAGAGCTGGGTTTCAGACCAGTTGGGAAGCTTGGCCTTGAAGGCTTCCCCTGCATGAATTCTATTGTAAATAGTCATTTGGATGCTACTCAAACATTCATTGCTGTGACCTAGAAAGAAAAGTTTGTTTCCTGTTTCCACTTTAAGGGGCAGCTATGTTGCTTGACAGATGTTAAAACAAAACAAAAAGGAATATTGGGATTTGGCATTGTGGGATCATCTAAACAGGAATGCTTCTGAAGTAAATAGAGGCAAAAGCCTTTCTAGTTGTGTTCTGTGTTTCTTTGCAAAATGATTTCTGCGCTTCCGCTAGAAATAACTGCGAACATTTGTGACTCCAGCATGTGCTAGTGCTATTAGGGATAGGATTTCTTACCTTCACAGGAAGCTTTTTCTTTTCTTGTTTGCTGCATAAAGCTTTGGTATTGGAAGAGATTTCAGCCAGTGGTCATTCCCTATTCTCCATCTGTTAGGTCTGTAGGTTCCATTGAATATTGCAGTCCCACGGCTGTGGTTTAGATAAAACAGGAGAGCCTTTTCTGTATTGCTCTCCTAACATCACGAAGACGTGCCCTGAAAGCTGGATCCGTTCTGCTGCTACAAATCAAACCCAGGGTAGGGTGCAGGTCCCTGCCTCAAGCCTGGAATCGTAACCAGCCTGTCCAGTTACCCCAGCAGGATATTTCTGTCAAAGGCAACCTGAAGCTCTTTCCCCTGAGTGACTAACTGAATTGGATTGCCTGCCTGGTATACGGCACTGCTGTCAGGCCTCCCACTGACCGGAGAGGTTTTAGTGGTTCTGAGATCAAAGTCAGTAAGGGAATGCATAGCATTTAATATATAAAGTATGTTCATCTGTCAAGATCAAACATGTGACATAAACATGCTAATGGTAAGTACATTACCACCGATAGAAGGGGAGTAAGTGTAATATTGACTGTAAGAATTAAGGTGAACTAACTTGTTTAATATTTTTCTACATAAGAGCTAACAAAGAAATTTCACATGGATTCAAAGCGCTTACTATAATCCTTGTTAATTAAAATTTATTCAATATTTTACATATTTTGCTTCAGGAGGAAAAAAAGGACTAAAATATAGTCCTATAAATTCGGGGGGGAAAAGTCTGCTATTTTCCTTAGAGATACAAAGCATATAATCTTGCTTTTCTGTCCAACGTGGCAACTGTCTCCATGCACTAATAAATTCCCCAATAGACATTTTCTCTGCCAAATCTAAGTATTTATGCTCCTGAAGCAAAATATTATACAAAGCTGTTAGCAGATAACAGCCTGTAATTTAGACAATACTAAATTTACAGGCCCCTTTGTTAGATTACTACTCTAGTCAGAGAGGTGCTGAAAGCCATGGGATGCTCTTAGGCAATCTCATCCAGGTAAAGGAACCCAAGATGTCTTTGTAAGATGTTTTAATTAGATCTGTCTCGCACTAAGAACCAACCACCCCTCCCAAGTGCATTGGCCAGTGTCGCAAATTGACTTTCTGGAAACTAAACTCAAACAGTTGCCTTCCAGGGGCTGGGCCCCCACCTCTGCTACCAGTGCAGGAAATTCAGCCCATAAAATCCTATTCCCATAGAATTTTCCATAAAATTCCCTATTCCCATAAAATCCCCTATTCCCAGAGCCGAGGCAAAGCACCGCCTGGGCATTGATTCCTTCTGTAATCAGAGCTTGACGCAAAGGTGCTTTTTTGTTGTGTATTAGATGAAAAGATGGAGAGAAGAAAAAGGCAGCTGATAGCAGCAATAGCTAGTTAATTGGTGGGAATGCTGACAATCACTTAGAATCTGCTGTTCATTATGGGATTATCAAAGTATGATAATGAGAACTTTGGAATATGCACTGAGCTGGAAAAGCTGCTCCCATATTGACTAAATTACCAAAATCTGGTTTAATGGGACTTTGCTTATCTGTCTTCAGCAATGATTATATTACAGAGGTTTGTATTGTTTTTAACTCTGTGGTCTTAAAAATCTACTGACGCACTCGAGGCAACTGCAGCCCCGCTTGTTGTGCCCCCTTGCATCGCGGCCTGGTTCTGCCCCTCTGAGCTGAGCTCTGCTTCAAGCTGCCCAGAGACCCAGCCCAGGCAGGGCTCCGCGAGGGGCGCCAGGGAGCTGTGCCCCTGCCCTGAGGGATGCAACGCTTCTTTCTCTGAGAAATGCGGAAACAAGCCTTTGCTCTGCGTGTTGCAGAAGCAGGTGTCTGAACTTGGAAGATAAGTTTAAAAACTTAATTAAAAAATGTTGATGTATTTTAGACCAAATTTTCCTGCCATGGAATTCAGGTTGCCAGCTCTTTGGAAATAACTTTGCATAAGGGATGCCTGGAAGGTAAAGACAAGGTCATCTTATGAAAGCAGGATTTGCCATGGCAATCATAGGCACAGTCTATATTGCACCACCCAGAAGCTGCACGTTTTTATTGACAGTATTCAGGGATAGGGTACTGTTGGCACCCTGGTGCTGCTGATATTTTAGCAAAGAATAAAGCAGCCTGGGGATTTCTCTCAAACTGAGAGGAGGTAAAATTGGGTATGTGGTGAGTTGTCATTAGGTATTCACAACTTCAGACCCATAGTGCCTTGAAAGATGAAATGAAGTATTAAAGTGTATTACAATCTTGTAGTTGTTTTTGCAGGTCAACTCAGAGTGTCTCACTTGCTTCTAATCGAATGTGTGATTAGCTGTCAGGATCTTAGAGATAATCATAGCCTTTAAAATAACACACTCTAGGGATGAAGTCCTTAATTTCTCCTGGAAGTTGGTTTGGGAAGCATATGTGTTCAAAAGCCTAATTTAAAGTTATTGTAAATTATGTGATAAAATAAAACTTTCATATAAGCTAAAATGTTTTCAAGAAAGTTTATGAGGAAGTGTAAAAGAAAAAAAAATCAAGAAAAAAAATCAAGCCTGGACTTGCATTGCTCAGAATGATATTCATTCAGCCAGTAAAAGCAGAGACGTACTAGAAGTAATAACACAGCCTAGTTGCCATCCTTCCTGGAGAAAAAACAGACAAACAAAAAGCCACTAACTGGTTTAATCCTCATCCTTCTGGCAGAGTCTTGGCCCTGGGATGGAGCAGGGGCTGCATCATGGACACATCCCTGCCCCTTGGCTCGCTCCAGCCATCCCTCATGCTCTGCCTTGTGTGGGGCTTGGCCAGAGTCACTCTTCATTTATAAAATCAAAAGCTTCCTTTGATCTAGGTTTGGGTTTTCGGGGTTTTGAAGCCATGCAGAGAGGGCTTACACAAAATGCAAGCTCTGTATTCCAAATAGAATCAAAATGTCTGGTTATATCTCCTGAAAGCCAACGTACTTAGTATACAGAAAGTGAGCAGAATTCAACATACTTGTTATTAACCACATGCATTTGAATTGCTTGCATTTGAAGCTAAAGCTGAGTTTAGATTTCTTGCCACTGATTTTAGCTCTCTGTAGTTTGCTGCTGCCTTGGCTCATATGCCTCTTCCTCTGGCAGTTGTTCTTAGTGCCTTGCCTGCTTCCCTGTTTAGGCAGCTGTGCAGAAACCCTTTGGAGTCTAAAGTCTAATTAAACTAAAATCTAAATTAGACTAGAGTTGGATCTAAAGCCTTTCCAGTGGGGAAAAGTATAAAAATGGAGTGGTGGTGTGTGCTATGGTCAGAAGGCTCAGGATGAGGGGTCAGCCACTTCAGTTAAATAATAGTATTATACTCGGTGGCTATTTCAGCTCTACCGGTGTTACAATAATGTGGAGACTGAAGGTTTTTGGAGGGATAACAGCAGTTTTCCCTTTTGTTTCTATATTTCATTCCTTCACCTTCCTTCTCCAAAAGGGCAATTGCGTGAGCACAGAGGCATTACTTTACAAAGCTTCGGGATCGTTCTCCATAGAGCCTTTTGGCATATTTGCTCTTTGCCCATAAACTGCACCTTGGAATTCTGTGGATGGACGTGAACGTATTGGGAATAGCATTTTTGGCAGGTGAACATGTTGTGCTCATGCACAGGGTTGAATTTCACCAAACCAACACGAGGAGGAGGAGCAGGAGCAGGCAGGGAGGCAGGAGAAGGGAGCAGCGGGAGGGCTCGGGCTCGCGGGAAAGGGGATCCGCGGAGGCAGGGAACTCTGCAGCGGGAGCCAAACATTGCCAATGCCCAGAGCAGTGCTCGCTTCCAGGGGATGGCTGTCACATTACAATTAACTAATTAAGCAGGTCTTCAACAGCAGATGTCACTGAAGCTTTAAAATTTAAGAGGAGGGATTTCAGAAGGCAGGAAATGGAATGAGAGAGATTTAAGTGTTACTTTAGCCTTGAACATGTATTATGTATATTAAACATTTTTAATTGTTCCAAGAGCCTCTTATCTTAGAAGATGCAGCAAACTAATATTCTTATTTCCCTTGTTATTGTTGCTGTTACTGTTATATTTGACTGTAGCTTCAGTAATTGGTGTTTAAATTTCTTTCTTAATTTCTTACCATGATTACTAGCAGCTCCATTTTATCAGCAGCAGTACCTGGAGGAGGCATTAGGATAATGATTCCCATTAGCCTTCAGCCCTGATGAGACTGGCCACGCTAAGCTCAGGAAAGGATCTGCTCTTGTGGCCTTTCTAAGGCCCTGAGGTGAGGCCTGGCGTGTTTCTGGTTAGAGGTGATGGACAATATTTAACATGTCCCTTGTTCTCAGAGGGAAATTGTGTTCCCGGGCAGCCCTGGGGCGTCCCCATTGATTCGTGAGCCCGCCTGGGACTGTCGCTGCCGCAATGTGGGTCAGCCAGCGCCGGCTGCAGCCCCGCGCCGCCTGCCCCACTGCCCTCGATTGCGCGGGAGCCACGTCGTGCCCGCACCGGCGGGAGGGAAGAGGTGTTGGCAGGGAACGTGGGAGAGGAGCCTCCGAGAGGAGCCGTTGGAGATTAGTCTGCACTTTGTGTTAGAGTGATACTAAGCTGATAAGTTGTCCCACTTTTCAGGTCTTATTAATAACGCTGCTTAAAATGGAAGCAAGCTTAATACCTGTATTTGTATCAGGCCTGATTAGGACAGCCCAAGGCGGTGAAATGGAGCATAAGCAGATCTGATTGATTTGTCTGGGCCAGATTTTAACCTTTCCTTATACTCAGCCTGTTTTTCACCCTGTGTTTACTCAATGCAAATGCAATTTAGTTTTCTGGTGAGAAAGGGACCCTTGTGTCTGTAAAGAAAGCGTGGGGAGGAGACAGTCACAATCAATTAGGGTCAGTATA